TAATGTTAGGGTTGGGTTTCCAACATCAACCAAACTGACTTTGGATCTTGGCCTTCCCATGGCTCAATGTGGAAGAATTTTTATTTTTTTTTTCAAGGCTACACACACCCGTCTCAACTGACACACTTTATTTTTTTGTTAATTGTAATTGAAGCATTCTCATTGATATTGTCCACGTACATTTTTCAGCATTAAACTCCAAAATGCTTCCTCATTCCTCTTGGAATAAAAAATAACAATATCCAACCCTTGTTGGCTTAGCAGACCCACTAAGGGTTGGCTTGCTTCCAGCTTTTAGGCCTCGTTGATCTACCAGCAGCTCCCAGGGGCCTCTTTTCCCTTCTCAGTCTAGAGATTGCAAATCAACCATCACCTCTCCCCATAGGCCTCCTTCTGGGGTTGGGGCTGGGAGAGGGACTTCTGGTGCAGTTTGCATTCAGACTATCCCCAAAGCCTCACTTGTTCGAAGCTTGGATCCCCAGACCATGGTGTTGTGAAGTTCTAAAACTTTAGGAAGTGGTATTCAGTTCACTGGAGCTGTGCCTTTGAATGGTTGGAAGAGGCTCCTGTTCTTCCTCTCTCTTACTTTTGCTTCCTGGCTATGAGGAGCATGGTTTTCTCCACTATATACCCCTGCTGTGATGTGGATGCTATCAAAGGCCTGGCCAGACCAATGTGGCCAATAGATTGTAGCTGAAGTCCAGGAAATGGTGAACTAATATAATCCTTTTCTTTTCCAAGTTAGTTTGTGACTGTGGTACTGGTGATGTAGAGGTGGGATCCATGGAGTCAAGTGGAGGAGACAGAACCATGTGCCCCTTCAAGGAAGTACTGGCATCCAACTCCATTTTTGTTCTGCTTTGAATATGTTAGTTCATGCTTTGAACAGTTGGTCCCTAGTTTTCCAGGTTACTAAAGTTGTGGTAACTTTTAGAGGCAAAGCCTAGCAAGAGGAAGTATGTCACTGGTATTTGATACCTTTGAAAATTATACAGGGTTCCAGATTTCTCTTCCTCCTCTGCTTTCTACTGTGAGGTGAACAACCACCTCACTCAACATTCCCAATATCATGGTGTTATGCCCAAGAGCATGGGGACATATGACCATGAGTTGGATATCTCAAAGTGTGTGCTCAAGTAAATCTTCCTGTAAGTGGTTTATGTCAGGCATTCTGTCATAGTGGAGTAAAGTTACACATATAGAATCTTCTTGGCCTATCCTTCCCTGTCTGCACTCAAGGGAATCCCTGGGTCCACTTGTCAATCAGCCAAAGTCAATAATCATAAAAGCAATGAGGGACTCTGTGGTCCCTGGTCATAGGCTCTATCTTCAGATGTCCAGGGAAGAATAGCTGTCTTTGATTCCAGGAAATGCAGAGGGAATGAGAAGGCTAATATCAAAGGAACAGAGGTGGGAAGAGACATGAAAAGGAAGGGAAGGGAAAAGAAAAAGGAAGGAAAGTAAGATAAAGGAGCTTGAAGTGAGAGAGCTATGATAGGTGGGATATTGTGCCCAAAGATATGTCCAAGTTCAAACTCTTCATAACAGTGAATAAGACTTTATTTGAATAAACAGCTCACTAGGAGGAGAAGAAACATACTAGGCTGGTTTTGTCCAATAAATGACTAACAAATGAGCCTCCTTAGAGGCTAGGCAATCCACTCAGGCCTATTCCACCGAGGGGCCTCTTCTGTGCTCTCCTTTCCCCACTGGGGTTAGAATTCCAGAGGTTCACCAGTTGGATATGTAGACATGACCTCCTCCTGCTTAGGCTCTGAGCCTCCAGTATTGAGAGAACCTTCTTCCTGACTGGTGCTCTCTTGACTTTGGAAGCTCCTGGGTTTTCAGGGGTAGCTCCTCCCAATGAGGAATGAATGTATGGTTGGTCCCAACATTCCTTCACTTAGGGAGACAAGCTTAGATGTTTCTCCAGATTTGAGATCTGAGAGGGCCCAACCCATTTATCATGAGAGTCCCCATGAGAATGAGAAGATGGAAAATGAATCTTATTTATCCTCAGAGTGGGCAGTGTCTAGCTTGGCCTGGAAGCCTGAATAATAGACCTGGTTTTGACTCTTCATGAACTTTAGATTTGAATACTTCCTTCACCTCTCTGAGCCCCAGTTTTCTCAGAGAATTCCCTGTACCTCTTGGTCCATTAGAGTTTCTTAGAGTACAGTTTTGTGGCCTTGCCTTTGCTAGTGTCACCATCTTGGACATTGACCTTAAATACTACAGTTAATCCAAGCTCTCTATATGATGGTGGTAGAGCGGTAGGGGCTGTAGCTATAAAACCTGACATGAAAAATTAAGACTTAAAAAATTCATCTGGCTTGTTGTTTCAGTGGTTTGTAGTTCAGTATCGCAGCGAGGCATGGTGGAGCAGCCCAGGGTATGTCACATTGGGGGGTGGCTCTTCACATCGTTATAGACCAGGCACAGAGTGGGGGAGGAGCTTGGGGCCAGGAACCCACTCCTAGTGACATACTTCTTGTCAGGCCTCATCTCTTAAAGGTCCTATAGTTTCTCAAAATAGTGTCATCAGCTTGGGAGCAAGCATTGAAAACATGAGCCTGAGCCTGTTGGGGAGATTTCAGATTTAAACCGTCACCTGAAGTCATATCCACCATGTAAAATGACACGTGAGGTCTACACATGTAAAGTGAGACAGTGAGGAACCTGTGCCTTTGCTGTTCTTAGGTGCTTCTCTATTTGGGAGGTTCTGTCCCAGAGGAGGGTCAGAACACAAGGAGCTTAAGGGCATTGGCCAGCAGCAACACATCCTGAGTTGCATTTGGGGCTCGTCAGATGGCAGAGAGGCGCAAGGGCGATTGATAGGGTTGGTTGGCCTCCTCATTCCTTTGTTCCCTTCCCACATGGCATTGTGGCTAAGTGTTCTTAAGAGGCAGTCTCTGCTATGAAAAATGACCATCATGGATTCCTCTAGGGTTTCCCAACAGCTAATTTATTGTTGATTCAGTCAAGGCATGTCAGAGCTGGAACAACTTTATGGAGACCTATCTCTGCTCTTTCACATTTCCTTTGAGGAAACTGAGGCCCAGATGGGTGATTTGCTTTAGTTCCCCTGTGCGTTGGTGCCGTGTCTGGGTTTAGAGGTCAGTTTTCTTGAGTCCCTCCCCTATGTATCTATTATGTCCCACAAACTTCCGCAGCTTACCTTTGTACTGGCTGCCATATTGGCATCCTGTCTACACTAGTGTTTGTCTAGGCTTTCCTCATCTTTACTTTTTGATTTGCTCAAATACGCACACTTGAAAAGAAATCCTTCTATCCTGACCAATACTGGTTAACTGGCACCTTTTGACACCACAGGGGGCTAGGATGGTAGTAACCACAGAACTATTGACAAAATAGCTTTGTACTTGAGATCCCTTAAAGTCATAAACTGCCAAAGAACTTGACCCCAAGAGTTGGGAAAACTGAATTCTAGAAGAAGGTTCATATGGATTTAAACTGTGGCTAGAAATATTCGCCATGCATGGCTTTAAGGCCTCTGGGGATAAATGCTAGTGCTAAGAGCTCATGCAGTGTTTAAAGGTATTTTCTTTCCTCTTTTGGGTTTTCCTTCTCTGAAGTGGCTCATGAATATAACCATAAGCTAGAGCAGGGCAGGAAAGCGCTGTGGGTGCCACGGGGCACCCCCCCCACCCCCAATGCTGAGGTTGTTGTTTTGGCCAGCACTTTCTGTGTCTGCTCTGGCTTTACCAGGAGCATACACATGGAACTTGCTAAAACCCTCAGTGGAGAAAGTGGAAAGAAACAGTCTCTTCTTATCTATCAGGATCAGCAGCATCCCACTCTCTCATCGTGATGGGGAGGGTGGTATTCATTTATACAGCTGCAGCAGGAGAGACCTAGGTTAAAGACCCTAGTGAACTGGCTTCTGTGAATCCTCAATTGATTGGAAGATATCAGTGAACTTCTGAAAGCTGAGCCCGAGGCCCTTTTCTTTCAGGGAACCAGCTAGCTCCCCTGCTGCTACTGATAACATTTCTCCAGGATCTTCTTTTTGCCTGTAGCTGAGCACAGCCCTTGTAAGGAACCTCTGTGGGAGACTGGCTGGCAGCAGAGCTCTGTGTGGGGAGGCAATGCTGTCAAGGACTCCCCTGAGCTGCCTGCCCAGCATTTTCTTAGATGAAAGTGTGGAAAGGGGAAAGACTTAGGTCTGGTGTGAGATACTCCAGGCTTACAGACACCTGACCAAATGGTCTTTGAGATTTCATAAGCATCAACATCACTCCCCACAACTCGTCCCCCCACCCCCCTAATTTCCTGAGCTGTTTCACAGATTGAAGCTGAGAACAGAGAGGACAGGGATTTTCCTAAAGTCACACAGCAGGTGAAGGCAGGATGGAGACCTTCCGCACCTCAGCTGCCACAGCTAGGGTATCCGCCACTCTATGTGGATGCTGGCTTGAAGGAGAGCCTGACAACTTCCTGCTCACCTATTTAGGTGCATGCCCTCGGGTGGCTACAGACTTGGGTTTGGGCACTCTGTGAGGACAGACCCTGACAATGCTTCAGCTACTAGAAGCCATGCAGGCTGAGCTCAGCTCATGGGGAGAATATGCTAGAAGCAAGGATTTGGGGTTCCAGGCCCTGAGTTCACATTGTGACTTCCAGCTTTATAACCTGGTAACATTGTTCATCTCTTTCCTTATCAGCTCAGTTATCATAATCTCTGCTCAAATGAAAGGAAAATTGCCCACCACCTCGTTAGTGCAGGATGAATGTGACTGACAATTCCTAGTCATGGCCTAGTCACAAGAATAAGCTCCGGGCCCCTGCATGTCACAATGGCCTGAGGCTATGTGCTACTGCACTCTGAATACTGCAGACTGAAGGTTTAAAAAGCAATTGGTTAGAACCTATTATCCCTTTGGATGTCATAGCTCCCTTTTTTATTGACAGAGATCACTTGAGTCCCCCACCCCTCCCCCAAGACCACAGAACAAAAGAAAATGACCAGAACCACTTACCTTGAGGCTGATCCTGTGGGGACCTCTTCAGCTTGGAACCTGGGGTAGTTGTCTGCCCAGAGTCCTCTCCATCAATGCATTGTGGTCTGGGCAAATTTCTTCTTTCTGTGGGTCTCTTCAGGATCGCCTCAATGGAAAAGGATAAGCTCAGCTTCTCTGGGACCTCACAGTATCCTGGACTCTTCTCCATGTCCCTGTTGATTGTAGGGCCGGCCATGGCCTGACCCTGCTGCTAGGAGGAACACTTTGTGTGTGCCCGGGGCAATGCCAGCAGAGGGTGGTATATTTTCTTCCCAGAGCTTCTGGGGATCCAGAAGGAACAAAGAGGTGGTGATTGAGGATCCTGATGCTGGGTTGTTCAGGCACAATTCCTTGGACACAGGGACTTCCATGGATCTCGAACACCTCCAAGACTAGGAGGTGGCTTCCAGCAGAAGCGCTGGTAGGTGTTTGTCCTATATCCACAGGTCTATAGCTGTCACCAAATGGAGGCTCAATTTTCCAGACAGGGTCTTCTTGGAGGTGGAGGCTTTCACAGTCCCTAGCCTAGGCAAGGATCCTGAAGCTCACTGCTCAATGGTCCCAGAAAAAAAAGAGCAAACAGGTAGAGTGGTAGGATGAGGTCACTACTTAGAGATTTGGAGGCAGCGTCCACCTTTGTCCTTTCTCTGACTTGTATCCCTTTCCTTTTTCAGGCAGTCACTGGGAGGCTAGGGTGCCACCTATGGGCCTTAGGTGGCCAAGTGAGCCCTAAGCCTCTTTGTGGCTGGAAGGGTCTTCTCAGAGACCCTTCTTGACTTCCTCAATTTAGTTTCCAGTCTCAAGTGTGAGACTTTCAGGACTCCTATACCTCTGCAGATCTTGCAGAGCGATCGATGTTGAGTCCCTGCCAGGTCTGGGTTGCTTTCACCTCAAGCCTGTGCTCTCTGGGCTGGTGTTTGCTTTATTTTGTTCTCATCTCCCTGACTTCCAGTCATATACTAAATTCTTTAGCCACTCGTTTCTCCTTCTTTTGTGGTCCTTTCTACTTTTTTCCTGCTTGATCACTCTACCTGTTTCTGAGACAGTCCCAAAGACTCCCTGTTCAGTAAACTCTGGGCTTGGAGCTGACAGTCACTGCTATCTTGCCAGGAATTCTGCTCAAAGAAATGAGTAACCAAGGAGGAGGGTGGGTTGATAAGGGAGACAGGTCCCCACCCCAGGAGATGGGATGGGATGCAGGTATTGGGTGGAGGGTTGAGGAAAACAGCCAGGATTGGAGGATAGATCCAGAATGCCTTGCAGAGGCGTGGTGCTGAAGAAATGGCCAGGTGAAAGAGAAGAGCAGAAGGTGGGGGAGGAATGGCCAAGGCACAGTAAAATGTGTTTAAACAGATAGGAGAATTTGTGGATTTTGCAGAGGCTTAGAGGCTGAGCCCTGTGCGGTGGGTGAGGCTCAGCCAGGGGTACTCCCTCACAGATGTGTGTTTCTTGGCTTGCCAGTGCTAGAGCAGGGAAGGCATTCTAAAACCTGTGTGGGGCATGTGGAGAGACCGAGGCTCAGAACAAAAGGATACAGGGGATGGAGTGACAGGAGGAACTTAAGGACTGTCCACAGGGTGTTACAACACAGAATGACTGATGCCCTAACTGACTGTGAACCTCACGTTAAAATGCAGACCTCTTCACAAGGGGAGGTGGGAGTGGGCATGGTTGTTCCTCTTTCTTTGAATTGGGGGAGGAGGAGGAGTTAGAAGAGGAAGGACTTCCTGAGATGTGAAAACAGGTGAAGAGGTCTAGTTCAGGAGTAGATCTCCTGGAAGTGCCAAAATCTCTGGTTTAGCTGGGAGAGATTAGGTTCTGTTGTGATCTATGGGAAGCTCATGCCAGCGGATGAAGCAGGGATTTTTTTTTTCCAACAGTGAAGTCACCATCTTTTGATTGATTGCAGGCGCCAAGGGAGAGGTGAGAGCAAAGTGGAGAGTGTTAGTGAGTCAGAAGTGTAAGTGGTTTATGGGATGTCTACTCCTGCTCTGCAGGCAGCCAAGTTCCTCTGAATGGATCCTGGTGATTTACTCAAAGCCTGAATAAAATTCACACAGACAGTAACCAGTCTGGTGTTCTTATATATGTTTACTTTCTGAGTTTGAAATTAATTGGCATTTTGTTTCTGTCTCCTCATCTTGGTTTTAGGTTAATGTTCCACTTGGGTCAAGTAAAGAAATCTAGGAGAGGCTTGTTAACAAACAGCAAGTTGGACAAATGGACAATTTGCTTATACAACAGTTACATTTATGCATCTTGAACTAATTAAATCACAGGAAGAGAGTGCTATGTATATTTCCATTGCTTTATTCTGAACTGAAAGTAAATGTTGGGAACCTGTATAAATGTTGCTTATACAGGTTATCATCTGGTACAGAGCACAGAGAGTAATTACCATTATTAAACCCAGAAGCTGCCGCCAAATTTAAAATTTCCAATTTCAAGGAAATGATATCATGTCATTGTGATTATAATTTTATATCACTTAAAAAAAACTCCATAAACAAACAAAACAAAGCAAACAATGAACAAACAAAAAACCAAACCCAGGGTGATGGAGAAGGCTCAGCATTAAGAGCACAGGCTGCTGTTGCATAGGATCTGAGTTTGGTTCCTAGCACACACTTGGTGGTGAACCTCATTTGTAACTTCAGCTCCATGGCATCAGATGCCCTCTTCTGGCCTCTGCCAGTACTTCATGCAGTGCCTGTACTTACACGCAAGCACTCACATACACTGTAAAAAAAAAAGTCTTAAGGAAGTCTGTATATAATCCCAAATTGTGAAACAGATATCCTACAATACACAAATTGAGCAGAATATTTGTGGTGGGAGAGTTTGTTACACAAATTTGGAAATTCTTTTCTTCTATTTCACAATTAAAACATGCTGTGGCACTTGGGTAAACTATGGCAATTGAGTGAGCTAGCTGGACAGGGCTGGCAAGGTGGCCCTGGTGGTGTGGGCGAGGGAGAGCTGATGGGCTGACTAACTCATGCATCACCCAGATCCCGGGCTTTGAGTTGGCCCACCTTAGCATCTACCTCATCTATGAACTGCTGGAACACATGAAGGGGCTGGTCTTGCAGATTCAAAGCTGCAGGATCTCCATGACTCAGGGCAACAACAGGATACCCAAGAGGAGCCCTGGTAAGGAGCCAGTATTGATAGTGTAGCAGAAGCCAGAGGCCTCGAACCAGACCAAAGACTCATTGCAAGGAACATTTGCAAGTGAAGATGTGTGGACAGAGGGATATACTGTGGGACATTGTGACACACTGCAGCTTCCACGATGAGATGATTTTATGTTTTCCTTTTGGTTTTCTTTTTGGGGGAGAGACTGCAAGGGTGGCGGGTGGATATGAAGGTACAGTGAGATGAGTGGGATTGGGGTACATGATTGAAATTTACAAAGAATCAATAAAAAGAAAAAAAAAACTCCATGCCTTTGAAGCATGTACATGTACATGCATGTCCGTATGTGTGCTGAGAACCATCCACGAATTTGTACTAATAAGACATTTTGTGGTATTTAGTTTAAACTGGATCTAACAAGTTAGTCATTTAAACGTTTCAGTAATGCCACAGGAAGTGCATTTTTCAATTTTTTTGACTTTGTATAACATTATATCCACTTGTGTTTTTTGTATTTAAGACTTTTAAAAAGTGGAAAGAAGCCAAATGTATAAAGCACTGTGTAGGTTTAGAGTTTGGGTGTTGTTTGCATTTAAAACTGACAGCTTCCTTACAACTGCCTCAAGTTCTGATGGACTGCTTACAGGAACTCGGAACAAAGACCAGAAAGAGCAGGTTCAGAATAGTGATTTCCTGTGGAAGTGAATGGTGTTCTTTGAAGACTAATAAAGACTGTCTCAATCACTTGAGACTTCACATAAAACTTTTTGCGAGACATGTTTATTTATCTTCTTTTTTTTTTAAAGAGCTAAGTGGACTAAGGAGGTGTCTCAGTGGTTAGAGCACTTGCTGCCCAAGTGTAAGGATTGGAATCCAGATCCCCAGAACTCATGCAGATGGTGGGTGGGTGTGTCTGTCTACTTGTAATACCAGCCTGGAAAGGCAGAGAGACAGAACATGCTCAGAGCAAGCTGTCTAGTGAGACTAAACTAATCAGCGGGCTTCGGGTGTGATTATGAGATTCCTCTTGGTTAATAAGGTGGAAGAGTCATTAAAGGATAATTCCCAACATCAACCTTGGGTTTCCATACACAAATGCACATACACAGCTCTGCATATCCACGTATAGGTGTGCTCCACACATGGAGACATGAATGTGTGCACACACAAAAACACACACAACAAAAGCAAGAATGGGAAAGACTGTTTCCACGGATAGCAGTGCAGTACCCAGCATACAGTGAGCTAGAATAAGGAAATGCCCAGAAAGAGAATAAAGTTTTATTTTAACAGTCTTTGAACTTATAGTCAGTCAGAAGTTGAATGATGTCTCCTCAGTACAAATACAATATGGTCAAGGACAGAGTCCTACAAAAACTGTTCCCAGCAATGGTTGACCAAAAATGTTTCTCTTCAGGAGGGCATCTTGCCAGAGGTAGTCATGGGTGAAAATGGAGCTTCCAGGTAGCCCTAATACTTAGGTGTCAACAGCACAATTTTTACAGTTGAAGAGATATGCCCAGAGAGGTGGAGTAAAAGAAGTAAAGTTGCACAGCTAACCAGCAGAAAGTACTGAGCTAAACATGGTTCTAAAACCATGTCTCTCACACTAGGTTGTCATCCTGAGTCCAGTGGCTGCAACCTTGTCATTGATAGTAGAAACAAGATAGGTAGGTGGTCTTGATTGTTATACCACTGGCTTAATTCTTTCTGTGAATTCCTTTGATTTTGTCTTTTTATAGAGTGAGCAGGGCCTGTGGGCAGGTGAACAAAACACCCTTTTTATTCTGGGTGTGGTGGTGAATGCCTTTAATCTCAGCACTCTGCACTTAGCAGAGGCTGGTGGATCTCTGTGTGTTTGAGGTCTGCCTGGTGTACAAAGTGATTTTCAGAACAGCAGCAATGCATAGAGAGACCCTGTTTCAAAACAGCAACAACAACAACAACAACAACAACAACAATGAAACAAAACCAGAGAAGAAAGAAAAGACCCTTCTTTTGTGTGCGCTGATATGTGTGCAGGTGTGTGTGTGAGATCACCAGTTCTGACTTCTGGACTGGGAATTTGTTATCGTTCACATGTGTAGGTATATCACCTATCTCCTGAGTGTCTACCACATGCTCAATGCTTGGCAGCCTTAGAGCCAATAAATGCTTTCATTCTTTGGTAAATCTCCCTTTGTTTTTTTAATTGACAGAAGATTAAGTAGTTCTGTGGTCTTTTGGGTCAAGGAAAGCTTAGAATAGGAGAGAGAAAGAAAGGAAGTACCATCATTTGTAAGTCCCTCTCATCTGTTTCAGTCTTTCTTATCTAACTAAACACACACAGGCAAATAAGCCAGCTCTGTGCATGGCAGTTAGCTCCATTCTGTTTGTTTTTGTTTTTTGTTTTTTTTCCCCCTCATTGCGTGCATGTGTGTCTGCTTTTGGAAGCCAGAAGTAAACTCTGGGTGCTATTCCTCAAGCTCTGTTCACCACAGCATCTTTCACGGGGAGGGAGGGTGCATATGGCTTGCTGAGTTGGCTAAGCTGGCTGGCCAAAGAG